ATTTAAAACGTCCTCTACTGTACTCAATTCGGGACGGTCGCCGTAAGAATGTAAATAAACTAAAAAGCGTACGATAACGGCGCTAAAATTGTACGTAATCGCGAAAGAGGCCGTGCGCAAATCGGATCCTCGTTGCTGGCCGCTGCTGGACAGGAATGCGAAAGGATAATTTGACATCCAGATATTTAAGCTGCGCTGCAGTGTGTCGTGCTACGCGACAGATATTGGAACGGGCGCGAAAGTATTTACCAGGAAACGGAGTGATTGTTTTTCTGGTGAAACTGTGGAAAATACTTTTTTCTCTGGGAAAAAAAGTGGTGTTCCCAAATATTTTACAATATACAATGTAATAATACAAGATAAGGGAGAAAAAAATTGGGAAAGAACAGTAATTACCTAAATCGATAGAATAAATAAAATATAACGAAAGAGAAAAATGACAAACAACTTACATATCGCCAATTTGCCGTAAAACAGAGACAGATATCCCGAAGTCTCATAGATTAAAACTGAGACACTCTGTCTATAATATCAAATTAAATTATAATATGAAAATGTTCCGAGATCAAAAAGGCATCTTTTTAGGTTCAGGTTTAAATATGTGTAATGTATGTCAAAATCTTACAAGGCATCTTAATTTTTAAGATCTATTACAAACAAAACGGAATATTATTGTTACAAAACGTTATATCCCTCAATTATTTAACGTACATTCGTATCTTATTTACGTTTAAAAATCCTCTTACAACCAAATCTAGGCTACCATCTATTATTATCATTTTGTAGTCATACTAACAAATGGGGCGAGATTTAAAAAACCGGCCATCCCTAATTTGGATAATCGGGATCGAATCCGACCGACCAATTATTTGCCATAAGAATTAATAGATGAACGCTATATCGAATTATTCCAAAATTCATATCCGACGCCGTTCATGCGATGTTGATCGCGTGTCATGGCGACTGCACAACTCGATCCCTCTTTAAATTGCATCGGAATGTACAGCCGTCCTAGCGGTTTTTGCGGTAGCACGAAATATGCAGCTGAACATAAAATCGTATAAAATTATGTAGGTACCTACTTGATTTCAGTAATATTATTCGTGTTATAAGAATTGTAACAACGATGAGTTTAGCCGTGATTATCGACAGCGCGCCGTACACCATAATGGTCCTTTATTTAAAATACGATGGTTTGTACCTTGTACCTCCTTAGTCTGTTAGGAATTTTTGACGTGCTCTTGTTCCCGGGTTAGGCTCTATGGGGGCCAACCCGCTATCAGAAACCCTAACCCTGATGCTCTTTTCTCCTTTTATGGTTGGTTCTAAATGTTCTCAAAGATTTAAAACTAATTTTGAAAAGAAAAACGCTTTCGTGTTCAAACATCTTGGAAATCAGCAATTTTTCGAAAGTTATTACTTACCAAAATTCTTGTGATCAAAACTTGAATTGAAGTGATTATTTTTGGATTGTTGCACAATCTGTTTATGAAGAATCATATCTTCATACCCAGAATTTTTACTATCGTGAAACTGGGCTGTGGAATTTGAAATAGAACACCCTGTATATCGTTTTTGAGCACTTTTTCGGTTAAAATGTATCGCAGATTAAAAAGGATGCAAACCAGCATCTAATTCGTCTCATGTAAATTGGACCAGCCTTTTTGTGGCGGGTTTACCTATTACTTGATGAACCGCCAGAACCATAACCTATGATAAAAACAAATTGCTACAAAGGAAAAGCGAGTTTATTTGAAAATATGCGGATGGGCCATTATCACTAATGAGCCTGCAAAATGTGTTTTAAAAACATGCACACATAAGCGGGATTTTCCTCTCAGTAAATGTTTATATATTAGGAAATGAGACAGCACTGAAAAGAAAAATAGTAAAAAAGTGAAAAATTGGAAATTATAGGAAAACTTACCCATTTCGAGATTAAAATATCCAGTCACGTAACTATTACAAAAAATCACATTAAAACCAAATATAGAAGTGCTTAAAATATTTTCTCCAAACACAGATTTTACAATAATGTACTGTCAAATGTATTTCAGACAAAGACGCAATTAAATATTGAAAATTGACTCTGGTGATGATGTCTCAATCAGCTGACGAATAGCTTTATTGAGATATTTAGTGAAAATAATAAAAATCAGTTTTTATAACTATCGAAAATGTACAAAACCGTAATAATACACTTCTGCAAAAAATTAAGGGTGCAAAAAAATTTTTCGATTTTTTAGTGATTTTTCAGAATGCGTATTATCCTAAACTTTCTTACGAAGCTAACAAGTGTGAAAAAAACAGTTTTTTTTTTAAACTCTATCTTTGATTCAAAGGAATCAACCAACAGTTTTTCTCAAAACTAACAATATTTTTTGTAATTCTAGTGAAAAAAATTAATCAAAAGTTTTTGTAGACTTCAATTTTTTTTAATTTTTGTCATGCCTAGACGGCATTTATCATTTTTATTTTATTTATCATATTTTAATCAATTTCGTTAATTCAAAATAAAGGAAATTACGGTACGGAAAGGGTACATCGCTTCAAAAATGACTCAATATTTTTATCTTGAGTTGTTAAATAAATAGAGAAGAAAATAAAGAAGAGTAAATTTTCAAAAAATTTTCAAAAATTAAAAAAAAAGTTTTTTTTTCAAAAAAATTTTTTTTTTCAAATTCAATGAGCAAAAAATGCCCAATTGTGAAAGAATTGAAAAATATCAAATTTTTCATTTTTACGAACGTTACAGGGTGCTCAGAAATGTAAATTTTGCTCCTTTAAATTTTTCTGAAATTTTGATTAAGCGGTCCGGAAAAACCGATCGATAGATCGATCTGCCCATTTACGGAGCTTTTGGGGGTACATCGAGGTGTAAAAATTCGTACAAGCATTAGACTCTCCATTGATATTAGCAAAGATGCGGTCGACTTAGCAAAACAAGTGAAAAAGTCACTTTTTTTCACTTTTTTCAAGTTAATGTCGAGGATGAAAGAAAATTTGTTTCTTCCAAGAACGCTACATAGCCTTGTAGGGCTTTTATTCGAGATTTGGAAACTGCCCGTCAATTTTCTGTCTGATCATTAGTTGCTGAGATATCGATGGTTAAAGCCAAAAGGATGCTTTTGTATTCGTAGTCGAATATCTCCGGGTCAAATTAACGTAGAGAAAAATTTTAAAAAAGAAATTAAAGCTGAATGAACAGGCTTTCAAGTCCATATCATGATTTTTGTGTAAAAAATTTTTCCAAGCCCGTGGACCGAGAAAAAAAACGCAAAAAATTGAAAAAAAATTTCTTTAGTCTTATTTCTTAGAATTTCGCGATGACTGACGGTCCTAAAAATTTTGAGCTAAGAAATCTGGAAACTAGACATTCGGCGCTTTAAAATGCTTTTTTTAAAACCTTGATACGATCATTTTTAACTGAGATACAGCATTCTGAAAAATCACTAAAAATTCGAAAAAATTTTTTGCTCCCTTAATTTTTTGCAAAAGTTTAGTAGAAACAGAAGTTAGTTTGTTCCTCACTCAGTATTCGAGAAAGATGGTGCTTTGAACAGTCCAATCGTGTTTGTTTGGATACTGGAGGTAGTATGGTTTTAGTAGCAAGGATTAGAATGGACAAAAACTGTTTTTGTATTCGTTGTAACCCATGTTCTAGAATTTTTTCTTCTATGCTTGGATGCTTCTGCATCATTTTGCTGATATTCTCCGTAGATCACCATCACATCAACAAATTCATTATTCTATACGTGAGCATTTTTTAATAACTGTTATTAACTGAATATAATTGTTGATGCCATCGTGTACAATCATTAATTTTTATACGTGCAAATCCATTATTATCTTTCATAATACAGAGAGAAAACCATCAGTTTGAGGTTATGTTACGTACTACCATATTATTATATCAATTATTTGTGCATCTGGTTCTAGCCTGGCGAACGCTCTGGATGAAATTACCCGTAATAATCACCTAAACAATTTCAATTTTGCACATTAGCCTGGCTGGGAAACCAGTAATAATACAATAATTGTTCTTGGGCGTGTTATACTGGGGTTAACTTCTAACTTATATAATTCGGAATATTGTCCCAAAGCGCGACACATTTTCAGCGCGTTTAGTTGTGGAAAATAAATCTGGAAATCTCGAAGGTTGCATTGGAAACATTGTTAAAAACACCCCAAGTGTTAAAGTATTATTAAAGTTCTCATTTCAATAAATAAATGTTTGAAGTAATTCTTTGATGACTTTTTTTCATAAATAAAATATGAAACGAACCTGAAATCTGAATAGTGCTTTCTTGCAACAAAAATCCAATTTGAAATCCGGACAACACTAGAGAGTGCCGTGGAAAAACAAACGAGCTCCGTTATTAAAATGCAAATTAACAGTTTCCCTTATTATAACTTTCAACCGCAGTTATTCGAAAAAAGCACACCTACATTATCTGAAAGTATAACGAACAAACAAAACGCACGGTCGTTACAGTTAGACGAATCCAAAAAGAAAGTAAATCGAAAGCAAAACAAAAAAACTGGGGCCTTGAGATATTTACAATCGCTGAAGAACGATTTCGATGATGCCTCGATTATTAAACGGCTATAAATCTAAATTTAGAATCGATGTTCCCATTAATACTTACAAGATACTGTTATTCAAATTAGAAGAAAGATGAGATGAGTTAATAAAAAAAGTTATTCAATCAAACGTGTGACTTTCGATGTAGAATGTCTCAGTGGAGGATTTAGTTTTGTAAAATGTTCGTAATTTCTCCAAAGTATATGATTATACACTATGTACAACAATTAGCTACAATTTTCTTTAATGCGTCTCGATTTCCCTTTTTTCCTTTAGTTACTTATAATAATTATTATTGTCCAGAGTATATTACCTATAAAAAAGTTGTGAAATCAAATGGTTAATGGTTCACAGAAGATACACTAATAAAACAGTTAACTGAAAACGCAGCATTTACATAAATATACATTTTTATTAACAAAAAAGGTCAACAATAGTATAAAAGTACAAAAAATCAACAAAACAACAACGACAACTTAAATAAGAGATGAGGTGATAGCGAGTCGGATGAGAATGAGATGAGAAATCGGTGCAAAGGTCGCCCAACCCCTAGTGCTTGCCATGCGAAGGCACGTGGTGGTAAACGTGCTTATAAACAGGCACGTGGACAGGATATGGCTTGTTTATGTACACGGGGTGGTGTTTCTCGATGATGACCTTGTAGGGCTTCTTCACGTAGACTGGCACCAACTTCTCCACGGAAATAGGGACCTTCTTCTCGATCTCCTGGGGCACCAGCTTGTAGATGGGCACAGGCACGGGCTGTGGCACCTGCACATGCACGGCGTAGGGCTGGGGCACCCCAACCTTGATCACTTGTGGTACGGGAACTCCAACAGGATGGGGTTCTGGCACTCCGACTTTCTTCACGACTGAGATGTGCACGGGCTTGGTCTGCTCGATGGTCTTGGTGGGGATGTAGTCGTACTTGTGTTCGACGGAGGGCTGGTAGCCGCCGCCGCCGAAGTCGTGACCTCCATCGTCGTCGCCACCGGTGAAGTCGTGTCCGTGTCCACCCCCTAGGTCGTGGCCGCCGAAGTCGAACCCGCTGGACGCGTATCCTGCGTGGGTAGTTCCCAGGGCGATGCTCAAGAGCAATGTTGCAACCTGAAAGGAAAAGGTGCGGTTAAATTATTCTTGTTGCCACAAATAAATAAAAAATTGTTAGTTTCTATGACGTGATTTAAAAAATGCGATCACTAATACCCGAAAACGCGATGCTTGATCTTTAAAAAAATGCAACACATTATTTGTCTAATGAAAACAGACATTTGGATAACTATTATCGCATGTCTTCTTCTTGCTGTCAGAAACAGAACCAAATTTTGTGGGTTTTAAAAATACTTGTTTTCTCGGTGTATTTCGAAATATTTACGTTATATCCAATAAAACGAATATAAGGATTTTATACCTCTTTAAGAATGGAAAATTGTTAACAAAACAACTAGTTTCTCTGAAATAATATAAAAAAATTTACTGTACAGTAAAAAATACGGTCACTTATACTTTAAAGCGTCATACTTTGATACAATTTGTTTGATATTTTAATAACTAGTCTTAAAAAACCACGACATTAACACCATTTGTCTACCGAAAATTGAAAACACCACTTTTATACCACTATTAACGTTGTCGAAGCTATCACAGAAAACCGCGGGTCGGTCAAAAATTCGAGTACTTACAGCGAACCTCATGTTGATATTCTTAAGATATGACCACGAAGAGGTACGGATGAAAGTGATGATGAAAATCGCGCCGCATCACACTTTTATACCGGCAACTGGGCGAGTCTTCGCAGTGAAAGGTCGTAATACAGATCACAATTAACGAAATGCTCTTTGGCGTGTGCTATAAAAAAAATCGCCTTTATTAGAATGTCGGTCTTCTAATTGCATGTGCCTTTTCGGTGTTCCTCAGGCTGTTACTGTGCACGGCGCGGCTGCCACAGGGGGTCAACAAACTGGTTTATGGTGGCTAGTAATAGACCAAGTGTAACTTGGGCACTGTTCGTTAAAATGTCTGGATGATGTATGCGGTGTTTGTGGAGTTGTCAGTTACAACTCAATCTTATTTTGAAATTGAGGAAACAACGTGTCTTTAGGCTGCCAGGTGTCAACCAAGTTCTCAGTTTTGTAATAATTTGTAATAAGGCATGTTCAATTTATATTTTGGAAAGATGTGCTAATTTGTACAAAAACTTTTGACAATTGTTATCGGTTTGATTTTTTTTTTGGCTTTATTTGAAATCGAATTTTAAAATAAATTGCATATTTACGGTGCCACTTTCTGCGTTCTATACAATGGCGTCAACATTTTTACAATCCGACGTTTCGTCTTCGAGGGGCCATCATCAGGTTCATTTTTTTAAATACGTCACTGCTATTTGTATAACAAAATCTAGTCATTTTTAATTCTTAATTAGATGATCTATTGTAATCGCTTAAAAAGGTTTTTAGATTGTTTTAGCTATCATTTAAAATATTTCCTGAGTACGACTCTGAACGTTTTCAAAATATCTATTGGAGGAAGTCATAACAGTATAAAAGTCAATACAGCACAAAATATCCAACAATTTTTTTTAATCAATAGTTTTAAAAAGTAGTACATACCTAATAAAAAAGTAATACGAATTTATGAAATGTTTTATTATTTCTAATCAGTATTGCCAATAGTAGTTATAAAAATTATTGAATATGTTGTGCTGTATTGAGTTTTATACTGTTATGACTTACTCCAATAGATATTTTGAAAACGTTCAGAGCCGTACTCAGGGAAAAATTAAATGATAGCTAAAACAAGCTAAAATCCTTTTTAAGCGATTATAATAGTAATATCATCTAATTCGCAATTAAAAATGACTTGATTTTGTCAAAAAAATAGCAGCGACGTATTTAAAAAAGTAAACCTGGTGATGGCCCCTCGAAGACGAAACGTCGGATTGCAAAAATTTTGCCGCCATTGGATGGAGCGAAAAAAGTGGCAATGTAAATATGCAATTTATTTTAAAATTTGTTTTTAAATAAAGCCAGAAAAAAAATAAAACGATTTTGCGTAATTTCGGGTTTTTCCGGATATCTTCCGAACTACCCGGAATTTTAAAACTTTCTAAACGGCGTATTGTTAGGTATAAAAAAGTACAACTTTTTTCTAATTTGAGGCACCCCGTATCTCTTACCGTTTCCTAGATCCTAATGCTGTCCCATCCTTATCTTGGACACACTGTATACACATTTGTAAAAAGTACATACTTCAGCTGACCTACTTACTGTGACTAATCAACCAGTTTTTTCCTCCCGTTTGATCGTGATCTAGAGATCTAGAAAGGGATCATCCATTCACATTCATTTTCAGATAAAAAAATGGAAGTACCTACCAATATATGTATCTATATTGGTGTTACTATATTTCTAAATAGAACCCATTTTCCTAAACAGAATACATTTCTGTTGTTAAATTTTAAGGAGAAATATGCATAGGTATAGCTAGCGAAAAATTAATTTCAGCAGATTGATTTAGTTTGACGTTACTTGTTATTCAAACACAAAAAGATAAATAAATTTTTTGAATATACAGGGTGTTGCGTGTATAAAAATTAAACTACAGCTTCCTAACGATATTTGTAATAGAAAAGTCTTATACGAAAAAGTTCTATTTTTGCGGTTTTTTTTTCGTAAATTAAAGTTCAATTATGGATCAAAATATTTTCTCTGGAACGGTCCTGTCCGTGTGCTGTTCGATGAGTTACGTGCTGTAGACCAGTCGCGTAAACAAATCGTCGTTGAAAGATAGAAAGATACTTCTCAATTTTTGGGGAATTTTTCCATGCAAAAGTACAAACTAAGAAAAATAGATATTTAAAAAAAAAATGATATTTTCTTATTATAATAATTAATAGTAATTACTATATTAAATGCATTGTTGTTACTGCAAGAGTTCGCAAACAAAACCACATCCGTAAGCATCTGTAGTTGCCAACTGCGTGCACTAAACAAACTCCATTAAAATATGGAACAAAAAAAACTTACCATTTCTAGAGAAAATGTTGAAATTGATCCCCATACAGGCATGGCACCGACGCACCCAATTTTGGCGAATATTTTCCCAAATTCCAGGTATTCCCCTAATTGTGTAAGCAGCTTCAAGTATACGGTTTCGCAATTCTTCCACCGTAGCAATTGGAGTATTGTAGACCAATGACGTCAAGTGACTCCAAAGATAAAAGTCCATTGGAGTTAAATCGGGTGACCGAGGTGGCCACGGCACAGGACCAAAGCGTCCAATCCATCGCTGAGGAAACATTTCATTCAAAAGTGTCGTTACTTCTCCAGTACTGTGTGGCGGAGCCCCATTTTGAATATAAAACATGCGTGCCCGAACTTGTAATGAAACATCATCCAATAATTCAGGCAACCGGTTCTCCAAGAAGTCGGCATATGTTGGTTCATTTAGTCGTCCTTCAAAGAAATAGAGACCCACAAGTACATCGCCTATTATGCTAGCCCAAACATTTAACGAGAACCGATGTTGAAAATGAGTTTCCCTAATCGCGTGAGGATTTTCATCGGCCCATATGTGCATATTATGGCAATTCACTTCATCACGGGTAATTGTCGCCTCATCTGTTACAGAAACATAAGCAGGAAAGTCTACTTGATTGGCACATTAACGTAAAAACCATCTGCAAAAACGCATTCGTGATCACAATCCGGGGGTAAAATCTGTTGAACTCGTTGCAAATGATAGGGGTGTATCAGATGCGATGTACGGTACAAGATGAAGTTCCTACTTGCTGTGCGAGTCATCAAATACTAATTGTGGGGTCTGCGTCAAGATTTTCCAACACTGCACCTTCAACATTAAGGTTCACTTGCTGACCACGTCCTTTTCCTCGAGGAATAAATCTTCCCGTATCTCGCAGCCGCTGAACGCACTGTAGGATTATATTTGCACATGGGGGGTGACGTTCTGGCCATCGTTTCCAGTACAACCTAGTCGCCGCGAGCGCATTTTCTCCGGCTGCACCATACACCATACACCATATCGACACGTTCGGAAATAGTAAATGCATTGTTTTCTCGGTTCATTGTAAAACTAGTTTGTGTACAAACTAAAAAATTAAGCAAAGTAAGAAATAGGAATCTCGTTCTTAATGTAATCGGCACGCTATTCTTATTTTTTACTTCTTTATAAAAATTACACTGTCACTATCGTGGAATTACAAAATAAAAACTTTTGTCTGGAATCTTTCACTTTTTAACATTGATTTGTCGATGGACGATGCATAATATTTAATAATTAAGTGAATAATGAACTCAATACAAACACTTTTCTATTACAAATATCATCAGGAAGCTGTAGTTTAATTTTTATAGATTATACATGCCACACCCTGTATAGTAAATACTGGCTTTGTTCAATATTCCTGTTTTTTATTAAAACAGCTCTAAAAAAGTTTATATATTTGTATATTTTTTGTTGGTATCAAAATCAGATATGTAGTATTTCGTCATTTCTTAGTATGCGAATGATTCATTATAAGAAAAGAAATTTCTTATGCAGTTTTAAAACAAACCGTTACGTCAAAAACCAACACATTTGCATTTTCATATGGTAAAATCTATTAATCCTACCACTTTCGCTATTTATTGCCAGATGTAAATTTGGAGAATGTCGATGTTAAAACGTTCTTTATTAATTCAAATTTCCAGCGAACAGGATCATTTTCTATAATTACTTATTACACTACAGCCGAAGGGTGTGCGAGTCCCTCATTTACATTATTATTTCACGCTTTTTAAAATATGAAAATTAAATCGGTGCAAATGGAGAATGTGCCTAATGAAAAAAGTGAATGTTTGGCAAATAAAGAGAAAATTACCACCTTAGGAATTTCGTGAAGTCGGCGCAAAGACGATTGTCTTGTTTTAATAGAGAGTACGAACGGAGAATGGGACAGATTGATGAATGAATGCCTTCAGAGTATTTGTACCAATTTATTTGTTTCATAAGTACAACGTAAAGTGCTTGCTAATAACATTTTAATTAAATTGTTACAACCGCAAAGTAATAAGGAGTTTTAGGGTTAATTTTTATAACCAATCACCATTTGGAGATATTTGGATTAGGTCATGTTTACCGAAAGACTGGTGCATTCTTTACTTCCAAAACAGACAGTTTTTACTAAATTAAGAAAATAAATTACACAGAAGAAATTGTTTCACATATGTTAAAACTGTTGAACATTCATACTACGAATACAACAGATCCATATATGATTAACATGGGTGGTAATAGTGGTAGCCAAACTGATTTAAATGAATAAACTTTTATATTTGTTATACATATTAAGTAATCATGATTACTTTATTACAAGATTATAAAACACCATAAAAGAAGTACATTCTAGGATTGTTATTAGAAACAAAAAAAAATTGAGAGGCACATCCCAGTGTATGCGTATTCATACAGTATTAACCAAATGGGGTGCAAACTATCTCATTACCATACATTAAACATGTCCTTAATCAATTCTAATGACAGCAGATTGGTCATTGTAATTGTTGTCATTGACATAACAGTGATTATTATTATTATTATCCCACAATTATACAGACGTCCATAACCATCAGATAAAGCTTGTGGCGACAGGTTAGACTGATTTAATTGGAATATTTGCAATAATCCACTTTAACAAGATCTGCTAGTCGAAAAATTGGCGCAAAAAAATTAAAATTAAAATAAGACTGGACCATATTTGATTTTTTTTTATAGTTGGG